TGCTGTAACTGTGAATGGTCACTAAATGAGGCAGTTGCTAAACAAAGACTACCTGTATTACTACTCTATACAGAAATAGACAGGGGAAAATGTTTTATCTATTTATATTTATTTACAGAGCTTATAGCCCACTCTAATCAACTGTCTTGGGATGGCATACAACTCCTCAAATCTGTAATTTGGGTTAAAAAACGGATAAATAATCAAGATTAAAACTAAAAAACACATTGTAGAAACAACCATATAAAAATTGGGTATTGATTTTCAAGGCAAACTTTTGACTGAGTCATTCATTTTTTTCTTGTAATTCTTTTAATTAAGTGAATTTTAAAAATTTAATTGAATTGGATCCACACTCTGAAGTTGTTAAACAGTGAAATGGAGGATATAATTTTTATGAATGAATGAATGCATGCATGCATAATTAATTGGATACAATTGCTAGATGCCATCTAAACAGTTGGATAACCACTAACTAGTTTTGAAACAATTTCCCTGACTAATGCCATAATCTAATATGCTTTTAGGGAAATTTGATCTACCTGCAGGAATGTCTTTTACATCAGTGGAGAGAACTTATGATTCCTCCCTTTTCTTCAATAAAAAACTTGTGAAGCTTATGAGTAGGCTGTTCTCTTGGTAGCACTGCAGTTTTGTAAGCAGTTATCCAGAGGGACATGTTAGGTGAACAGAGTGATTGAAATGAAGATGTAAAATAGACAGTTGGTAGGTCTTCCAGGCATAAAATGTTGTGTGGGTATTTTAGCCAATCTGGCGCATATTATTTAATATCAACAATGATGCTTATTTTAAACATGGTAGGTTTGGCTGTTTAAAGGTCTTCTGTGAAATGCACATCTCCATGGGTGCCTTTTAGGCAAGAAAGAACTAATTCTCTTTCTTTCTCAGGAGAGAGAGAGAAAGAGAGAGAGAGAGAGATAAATGCATGCACTTCTATTGATTTTAAATGAAGATTTTAATAGATATATCCCAATTATAAGAAGGTAACATAGGATTACAATGGTTAGAAGAAAAGCCTGGATGATAACACTCTGTAAAACAGTACCACAGTTCTGCAGCCTTATCCTTGCCCACGATGTGTGTCTGCCTCTTCTGGACACTTTGACTGTGCCTGCTCTTCCCAGCAAGGTGCCACTTCCCTATAAAAAATTTAAAAATACTAGAGTCCAAAACTACTAACTTTGTCAGTATAGCAAACTCATCAGCTGTCTCATTCAGCCTGGCATTATTTCAACCAGTCATACTCTCAACATGCAAGCTTCAGACTTATTTTTAAAAATCCATCCTCTACTTATTTGGATGCCATTTTGCTTCATTCAAATGTTTGAAAAATTCAACAGGGTCTCTCTCCCTCTCTGTCTCCCCACCCCTCCTCCTCCCTCTCAGTAGTGTTTAATTCCAGTACTCGAAAAGCTAAATTTTCAATTGCAAATTAAAAAAAAATCTTAAGTAAAAAAGTAAAAAAACAGATCTGTATGTACACCTCTGAATCTAATTCTTCCCTCCTCTCTTATTTTCTTCTTCATGCACTGGTTTCTCGTGCTTGATTATGTGACGGGGAAGTAATGAACTGCTGGTACTTGGAAAACCAAACCCTCCCCCCCGTTGGGATATACATATACCATACATATACAGTACATGGACCTGATTACCAGAAAGGAGCTGGAGGAAGGTGGGGGAATCCAGGGAGGGTGGTGGGAAGGATGGCATATCTTCGTGTACGCGAGGAGCCTGGGATGACCTGAGCTTCCCCCCCCCCCCGCCCCCTCTTCTTGCTTCATGCGGTAAAACCACGTTGAAGAAAGAGGGCAGTCGCGTACAGCCCATCTCCTTCCATCTGCCTCTACCAGCTTCTGGCAAAGAGAAGAACTGGCAAGGAACGTTCTGACCAAGGAAGGAGCGAATTGCGTTCTGGATTCGGGTGAAGGTAGGTCTGTCTAAGTTTAATCAGAGCGAGCGTAAGATCGCGGGCAAAAGAGCCCAGCCCAAGACTTCATTATACATGCCGATGTATGGCAGACAGGGTGGGCTTTCCGACCAATTTCAGCCCCCCGGCTGTATTCAGCGTGCGTGTGCGCAGGGAAAAATGGGACTTGATTCCCTCCTCGGAGTATCTTTCTTCCACCCCTTTCATTTCCCCCTCTCCTTCGTGGCGCTTCGGGCTTCCTGTCCTTCAGAGAAAAGAAAGAGGGAGGGAGTGTGAAGAGAGTGCGGTGCAATTTGAAATCTGCCCTGCGATAGAAAAACCCACCGCCGCTGCTTCATTCTGTAGGCATTCACAGCCATTCCGAAAAGGATGGGAAGCAGAAGCTGCTGCAACTGGAATTCTCTGTATGTATTTCATTCTGTTGTCAGGCATTGACGGGAGGAGGGATGATGCTAGGGAAAGAGGTGCGTGCGTGTGTTTGTGTGAGCGAATTTGATATATACAAAGATAAAAAGCAGCGTCTTTAAAGAAGTTTCGGCCACAAAATGCTTAGCTTCGCCCTTGAATCTCCATTGCCAAGACCGGAGGAGCGCGTTGGGATTTGGGTTGCGGAGATCGCTGTCCAGGGTCCTGAAATCGGTGAGTAACCTAGCCCATGCAACAGGACGCCCAGGCAAGCGAGCTCAGCGAAACATCTCTTTCCAATCAGCAATTATCTCGAACACCGGCCGATCGCCTTTTAAATCGCATTAAACTACTTAAACTCTAGCCGCCTGTCTTGCCACCTCTCCTGCCCAAAGTCTGCATGAAAACCAAGTGGTGCCAGAAAAGCACATCAGGACTTTGCCTGCCGTTGCCTTAGTAACTAATATGTATTTCCCACGGCTTGCATAGTTGTAGCTCATACAGAACTACAGATTTTCCTTTCAAAATTCCAAAGATTAATAATCTTATCACAAAGGAATAAGCCATTGTTTGGCTGTTTTACAATTTGGGCTTGACCTTTAAATGACATTTTCTTTCTGCTTTGGTTTTTCTTTTTCCTTTTTGGTGATGTTTGAAACTGGTATAGCTTTCTGATCCTTGAGTGAACATTAAAAAAAAAAAATACACAACCTATGGAAGTTTTATAACTTATAACGATTTCCTCAGTTCCACTCAAATATCAGATTACAGGTAAAGTCACTTCACCTAGTACATAAAATATATTCTCAATGATATACACACAGGTTGTCAGGTGTGAATGAATTTGTCTGGTCATGCAAAGATCTGCTAATGAATGTATCAATCTTAGTATATTATGTGGGTTTATTATACAATGAATTCTCTGTTATTTTCATCTATATTATATCAAAGCATTTTTTCATGAGATTAGAACTGTGTCTTGCCTATCTCTCCCTACATCTTTTTTATTTTTGAATTTGCATTTAAGAGCAACCTGCTCTTTGTAGCCAACTGATTATGTTGTCTACTAAAAGTCTAGGCAGGTGGGGAGGGATACTTATAAAGGAAATGACCTTTACAGTGTTTGGCTGTGCCATACTTTTAGCTGATGAATGTGTTCTGTTCTTTCTTCCCATGTCAACAGGCTACAATTCACGCCTACAGTGACTTCTGTTGCCCCTTTAAGCTTTTGCTTTAAAATCACCTTGGAGATTCTTAAGAAGTGAAATAGTGAAGAAAGTCTGTGGTCTTCTTCATGCTTTTAACCATGTGTAGACAGGAAGATCCCATGAAACTGGTAGCTTGGATCTGGATGGTCTCCTGCAACAAGATGATAGGGGTCCTGCTTGTCTTTTTTCCTGCTATCCTCTTGGAGATGGATTTTCTCCCCAAGAATACTGGCAGAAAGATTTTGATTTCAGCAGCTTCCTCCCAAAGATCAGTAGCCAGAATGGATGGGGATGTCATTATAGGAGCCCTCTTTTCAGTTCATCACCAACCCCCAGCTGAGAAGGTACCAGAAAGGAAGTGTGGTGAGATCCGAGAGCAATATGGCATCCAGAGAGTTGAGGCCATGTTTCACACTCTGGATAAAATAAATTCAGACCCAGTTTTGCTGCCCAACATCACTTTAGGCAGTGAAATTCGAGATTCCTGCTGGCATTCCTCAGTAGCCTTGGAACAGAGTATTGAATTCATAAGGGACTCCTTGATCTCTATCCGAGATGAAAAAGATGCTCTGGGTCGCTGCCTGCCAGATCCTTTATATCACCATCAGGTCAGGGCCAAAAAACCCATTGCTGGTGTTATTGGTCCGGGTTCCAGTTCTGTGGCCATCCAAGTGCAAAATCTGCTTCAACTTTTTGATATTCCTCAGATTGCTTATTCTGCAACCAGTATTGACCTAAGTGACAAAACTTTGTACAAATATTTCTTGAGGGTGGTTCCATCTGATATTCTGCAAGCTAGAGCCATGCTTGACATCGTCAAACGTTACAACTGGACATATGTATCTGCTGTGCATACTGAAGGTGAGTAAGGCATTAATTTAATTGCATTGAGCTTTTGTGTAGAATGTCCTTCCAAATCTTTATCTAACTTTCATTCTCAGAACTACTGAAAGTAATTTACATTTTAAGAAGCAGTGGCTATGAAATACACACTTGATGTTAGATACCTTAACATCACAGATTGTGTTAAATCATAATACAATTCACTTGGTTTGGGCTTAGTAAGTTATAAGAGCTCAGCCATTGTGGTTTTTAAACCTTGATTTATAGCTTAATGTGAATCAAACACTGTACCTTATTTAAGGAATCATTATCAAAACAAGCTATGGTTCAACAGTATGTGTGAACACTAACCAGTGCCTGGATGGGACTTGTACTTGAACTTCCAAGACAGAACTTCCAACCAATTGACCAGATTAGATAAATATAGCATTTATGATCAACTTTTCTTTTGTTCTTTTTTTTTTTTTTTAGTTTGGGCCAGAAATAAACCACACAATACATATACAGAATACAAATCCTCTTTTTTTTCCTTTATGCTATTGTAAGCAGATGAGGGCTGCTGACCAAAAACATTGAAGATGGACAGAGAGGTTTACACCTTCCCCTCCCCACCAATCCTTTGTGAAGCTGTTTCTCTGTCTTTTTTTTAAAAAGCCAACA